CAAATATGTCTCACGTCACGTTTGATTTACCTTGCTTTTTCGAAATAGGAGGAGTCATAAAAGCCAAAATGCATTTATCCATATAAAATAGTTTGATTACTGTCTGCCCATTACGATTTTAGTGACGGAGTGCAAGGGGGTTGTAAGGATGATTCCGTGAAACCTTATAAGTGCAGTGAGTGTTGGTATAATAAGCCTAAAGTAAAGACGTAGTGTGGGATCACTTAGCCTAGAGCCAATTGCATAAATTTATCATGAAAGTAAAAAAAATCGTTTCTGAATTAAACTATTTTCTTTTATATCACCAACAAACTTCTTTAATCAACAGAAACTCTAAATTCAGAAATCAACAAATATCTCTTCAGTTTTGTTGTCTATACATTTCATTTTATACTTTCAGTACATGAACTAACAACAATATTAGGTTATACTTTTGTTGCTAAGCAACATGGCATAAAAGCCATTGTTGGAACGTAGTGTTACCAAAACGGACTGGCTTTTCTATATATTAGAAGTTGTTAATCTAACTGATTTTCATCCATAATTATTCTATAAGTACGCCACAATTTCATTTCATGAAAGATCTTAATTTTGATTGGCTCACAAAGGAATTTACCGACATTTGACTGCCTCGACTGCACTTTTCTGCCATTTTATTGGTCAAGCTTGATTTCGCAAAATTTATTTTTATTTCAGTTAGCTATGAAATGTGAGGCTAGGGTATACTATGGAGTAGGTGTGGTAGTACTTGCCCCATAATGTTTGACGGGCTATATGTTAGTTTATGTAATAATTATCAACCACTATATTGATTCCAAATTCACAAGAAACCCCAAAATTAAGGTGCGAAATTATGCCCCAGTTAGTCATTTTTTAATCTTTTATTTTAATTTATGTGTTTTTAGGACAATTAAGCATATCAACTTTGTACAAAAAAATTTTCTTTAAAAATGTAATGAAGTAGTATGTTTATTTTAATCAATAAATATTCAGTGGTTATAGTACATAGTTTTGTGGAGTGTTATTACAACTGTTACTGTAACAAATGGCTTATATATATAGTGTCCGACCACTACTATGTTCATCGTATCCCAGCTGACTTCAAGAGTTCTGGATTGACCAAAACGCATCGTCGGTAATGGATATGGTTTAAACACTATTATTATAATACACCCTTATAATTCTTGAAAATATCCAAGAGACTAGATAAAAAATATAGTGTTAAAAGTATAATGGGCTTAACACTAATATCTTATCACAAGTATCATTAAAAGTCAATTACTCCTAAATCATGGTACCCGAAGACAGGATTTCCTCTAGCTTTTCATATTATTTTATGAAATGAATTTTTTCGACACAAACTTTTAAGTCAATTGTATTTATTAATTCTAATTCAAAACTTTTAACTCGGAAATGTTTTAGAATCGATACTTGGTAATTTTTCAAAAGTGTTCAAATTTTTATTTCTGCACAGTTCCGAGAAGTTTCGTCTGTAAAAAACGCACTTGTCAATTTTTTTTCTGCCCATCCAAAGATTAATTTTATTTTTGCTAAGTATTTATCACAATTGAGAGTATTCTATTAATTTTTTTGTTTTCAAATGTTTCCTCGTCTTCTTCTGCTTAGTTTTGTAGCTTTTTTTGTGTCACAACAAGTGATTTGATCAGTTATTTACTAATGAAATACAGCTTTGAAAACAGATATAAAGAAAGTTTACATATGATTGGATAAAGTATTAGAGTGTCACGTAAACAACCTAACACACAAACACTTGTGAAAATGTTTGCGTGTTCGGATATTAACTATTAAATTATATATGCTCGAAAGCTACATGAATTTTCTTCGTTAGAAAGAAGCTTATTAAGTTTAGAGACGTGTTGAACGGGCATTAAAAAAGTTATGCAAGATTAACCCAGTAATAAATGTACTTTTTACTGAGGGATCACCTTTTTCCTCTCTCATTTTGATCCAAATAAAAATGTGTAGATGCAATAGTTTGAGATGTGTTTTTCTTATCGGATACAAAATGTGATCTACGAAAAAAACACGTTTTTTTTTGCCCATTTTGTATTATGTTGGTTGACAATTTTGTCAGCGATGACCCAACGGTTGTGTGTTTCTGGATTTGTCGGAAAGTCCGTGGAAACTAACATAACTTTTAAGGTTATGACTAATACAGTTCCATGTAACATGTTTTGGTATTTTCATTTTGATACATGCTGCTCGAGTCCACATATGTATACTTACCTGAGATAAGGCTAATAAACTGCATATTGACAATAAGCATCCCATTAGTGGTCACCCTCATACCAAAACAATTGTCATCCCCACTGTGTTTCGCACTCCTAGCTGTCAATTGTGTGAATTGGTTTATAGTACAATTTTCAATTCCCGCAGCACTTAATTAACGACTTTTAAAAAATTATCGGTGTTGACTTCTCAACGTATCAACATAATTCTAACCCTTTCTTTCACTTCAAATAATTTTGCGTTCTTAGGTTCATGTCAAATAACGATTTGACCTCAGACGTTGTTAGGGGTTTGTTTGTTTTGAATTTCGTGCAAAGCTACACGAGGGCTATCTATGCTAGCCGCCCCTAATTTAGCAGTGAAAGAACAGAGGGAAGGCAGCTAGTCATCACCACCCATCGCCAACTTTTGGGCTACTTTTTTACCAACGTATAGTGGTAATGACCGACACATTATAACGCCCCCACAGCTGAAAGGAAGGGCATGTTTGGTGGGACGGAGATTCGAACCCGCGACATGCAGATTGCGAGTTGAACGCCTTAATCACCTGGTCATACCAGGACTACGTTGCTAAGTAGTTGTTTCCACCTCAATAATGGTTTTAACGGAAGTTCGGTTAACGTATTATGTTTTCTTTGCTTTTATTCATAAGTTCTCAGAATTCTGTAATTTCGGAAAAGTGCCCTTTTGAATAGAGAATTAACAGCGAAAGTCGCTGTTTCAAAGATGAATTAAATGATCACAGTTAACATAACAAATAAAGTGTGCTCAGTCGTCAGCGCCCATTATCCCAAACACAAACGCATGAGCACACTTTTTTCCGCCGCCTATGCGTGTTCATTCTCACGATCATAGTTAATTAATATTGCCTAAAAGAAAAATTTATATTATAACAAGTTTCTGTAAATGACGGTGAGGTCAAACTTAAACAACACACCTTGACTATCTTTTCTCAGACCATCTATCTGATGTTGAAGACTGTTAAATTACACTAGAAGGAAGACTTAAACAATGCAATGACAAAAATATTGTTTATAAAGCAACATTGAAGACTAGCAGAAAACTTCATACCGGGAATTCAAAACATGTGCTGTATACTACACTGCCGAGACTGTTAAAGAACTTCATTCCAAAACGTACCAGAACGCGTGCTGTGTGTGTTTTTCATTAACATTTTTGTTTTCGTAACCATACGAAAAATTGTAAACATCATCAGATTTTAATTTTGTTCATCTGTTTAAGTATCGAAGCTACCCAAGAACCTTATTCCTAAATTACCTAATGTATGCACATTTCATTAATCCTACTCTGTAATGTCCAAATAAATTTGACATTGAAATGGAATTATTATCGTGAATGAAATTTTTGGATTACACGGCTAGATCAGGGACCCCTAAGGTTACAGCTTTGAATTACTGACCAGAAGATTGGCAGCTAGTCAGCAGCACTCGCCGCCATAAAGCTTTTATACGTCTTACTGGACTGAATAATGGGATTGATTGATATTTTTATAACGTACCCACAGCTAAACGTGCGGAGCACGTTTTGCCCTATTAATTCTCAAACATCAGACCTTCTGTCCATAGCTCAGATCGCTTACCACTAGGCCAGACCAAACTCAACTTTCTTTTGGTTCATGTGACAACCCGGACCAGAAATATCAATAATATACTACATTGTGGTGACCCAATTTTTGTAAGTAAAGTTTAAAGACTGTATCAGATATCGCGTGGTTGACATATTATACATTCTTCTATGAACTTCACTGTACTTCATAAGTAAAATAGTTTTAATACAATACAAAGATAAAAAATTAAACATAAGTGACCTCAGTAACTAAACTAATTTGTATGTATTATATGCCACTGGACAAGAAACAAAAAATATTTTGAATAACAACATACTAATATGATTTTATTATTTCTTTTCGTAAGAAAATTATAACAGTATTCAGCGGGAAATGATAACTAAGCGTTGAGAAAAGTTAAAGTACCCGGCTCGACACTTAAATTGGTATCATGAAATATTGTGTGTTCAAGCAAAATGAACTGAAACTCAACTCATATTTCGATGAACAAACAAAAACAAAAACGTAAATAAAAACTGGTACATGTCTATATAGATGACACAATGAGTACATAAAGTTGATTTCCATACAAGTTCCCAATTTCACTTATTTTCACATTTTAGAATAAGTTATGATTTTAATTTCTATGCAAAAATAAATTCCTACTATAAGTAATATTACTGAACTTAGAAGGAGCGTTTTAAAACGAGAAAGAAAAACATATATTACAATTGTGTAACTTAACTTCAAAAAGCGCCCAACGTATCATATTAATGAACTAAAATACAAACCATTTAAAAGAGCGTTTGCCGTTTTAAGTTTTGTTTCAAATATAAAATCAACAATTTATATTGTGTTCGCAGAGACACCTATCAATGATTGGTGTCATGTTAACATTTTTTACTGTCACATTTACTTACGGCCAGTACCTTACACGCATTTTTTAATAAAGCTCAATTCAAAAAGTTCGTTTTCTCTCCATATATTTCATTTATTTTTTCTTTTGATTTCTATCCTCGAGTATTGCGTTTGAAACTAAAAGTAAAACGGCAACAAAAATTCGGCAAGTTTCGAATTAGCTACAAATTCGATTTCCTCATTTTTTAAAATATTAACGCAGTATAGTTTTTATAATTTGTAAATGTAATAAGTAAAAATCCAGAAAAAAAGGGTAAATGTCTATTTATTTATTTTTACGAATTCTCTTTTTTTGTGCTCTTTGGTTAATTACACCTTTGGGCTTCATCTGAGTTAGCAATTCGTTCTTTTCTTCAACAAGCTGAGCACATTCTTTGATAACATTATGTAAATCAAAACTACCATGTTTAATTAAGTTCTTCCTCTGTAGTCTGATGAGAGTAGACATTATATCTCCTTTCAAGTCTGTCACTTCAAGTAAATTTTGTGAAACCTCAGCCTTCATATTTTTCTTTACTGAACCTTGTAACTCCTCAAATGGGAACTGAAGATTTTGCACATCGTTCACAACGTCGTAAATTCGATCTATATCTCGCCGAATTTCAGTATATTCTGCCAAGTTTTCTTCCAGCGCTACCAGTGTCATAAGATAGTTTATGAGCTTTCTCTCTGACAAATATTCAAAAGTAACAGGTTCTAAAGGGGCCTGGGTATTCGAAGATACAGTTCCTAAAATTTCTTCGTGAGCTACTATTCCACTAATGGTGTCTTCTATTTCTTCAGTTTTTCTTGAAAACGTCATTAGGGTTAAATCCCTTTTCGATATCTTATTAAAGTCCTTTTTTTCTGTTTTTAATTCTGTTATGGATAACTCTAGGTTTGTTACGATAACAGCAACTACAAGGTTGGCAAAAAATAATGCCCCAATTAAAACTGCGAAACTGAAATATAAACTTCCGACAATATAATAAGTTCCGCCAACTTTTGAGAAGTCCTTAATAAGATCTAGCCAACCTTCTTGAGTTACGCATATAAATAAACTGAAGAGAGCTTTGTATAAGTTATCGAAATGCTCTGGAACAGTATCCCCAAATATAATTACTCCGGCAACTCCAAAAACACAGAGAATTATAAGAAGAAGCAAAACAAGGTTACTCATATCTGGGATTGATTGAAAAATTGTTTTAATCACAAGTGATAAACCAGATAAAGCCCCAATACTTTTGACGCTACGGAAAGCTTTAACAACTCTTAAAATTCTGAGGATACGACCGGTTCCTAAAAATGTTAGAGAAGGCCCTAACAAAAGAGATGAAATAATCATAAAATCAAAAACATTCCAACCATCTTTCCAAAAAGTCCAAAAATCGTTAAACCACTTCAGAAAGATTTCGAAAACGAATACTGTTAAGACTATCTGATCAAAAATAGCGAAAAGATAAGCATAGTCTTGGGATATTTCCTGATTTGATTGTAAGCCAATCATAAATGAATTCATAAGAATAAGTATTAATATAAACGTTCGAAATGGAAAACTCTCAAGAAATTCTGAAACTAAAACTTGAGAAACATACCCAGTCAGCTGATTTTCATCTTGATCAACTACTCTTCTAATATCTGTATGCAAGTCTGTTAAACTTTCAGTTTCATTCGAGGATAAATCATTACTTTCTTCGATAACCGAGTCTAATGAAAACAGAAACCGTCTAGGTACGATTTCTCCTTTTTCGCCAACCTCACTTTGCTTTTCTTTCCGTATTTGGCGTCGTAACTTGAATAATAACCTAGTTTTTAACATAGCTAAGCTAGAGAATTTAGGGCCAGTGTTTTCAGCGCCAGATATAAGCTTATTCTCTGTCGATGCAGGCAAATTCCTTTTACTTTCAGGTGTTTGGTCTTCCATTATGTTACCTGTAGGATTAGTATTTTTTTTGAACACGCAACTATACTACCTTAAGCCTAATTCAAAAGTTAGATTGTTTTGATAATGCTAGGACAGATAAGAACAGCAGCAAAACGTATCCGAATATTCAGATAATAAGAGGTAATATAATTCCCAGTTCTTTTATATTCGCTGTAAAGGTTTTAACACATTACGTTAACTTTAGTTAAACCTACCACTGCTTCTTCCTTATCTATTATGAATTCAATAGCAGCGTCTGAACAGAACCTGAAAAGGTAAAACGAAGCAAACAAACAAAAACGAAATTCAACAGTGAAATGAATAATAGGTCTTAATAATTAAGAGTGAAAACAATAAGGTGAATAAAAAAATGTTGCGTTATAAGTGAAAACTGGCTGTTTAATATATTTTTTATGAACTGTTAAAATCAAATAACAGAAAGTTTCAGCCCTAGAAATGCTTATCTCCAGGTGCTAGGAGCACTTCATAAGTTACTGAAATTAAAATAACTCTATTAATTTACAATTATATGTGCTTAATTTTGTAAATTTCCTCACGTGTGTTATTAATACATGTACTCAAGTATATTTGCTTCAATTATACGTTCACAAAAACACGTCTATATAGAGAATGAGTGAGAGAGAGAAATGTTACTAGGAAGTTAAAAATATTCATATAATAATAAACGAATCATATTAGTATAAAATTATTTTTAAAGCTTTAGATATAGTGAAATATGAACAAAGTTTCAATCCATGATAAAGACATTTCAGGGACAATTGTTGTGGATATTTACATAACAGCTGCAATTCCCTGGAGATTATAATGAAATAACAAAAGCGTTGTTCTATATTGATTTGGATAATGAGACCATTATTCTTGTTATTATCTGATGCAGCAATTTTCCAATATTCTCCGAGGTAAAAGTGAATATGGATTTGTTTGTTTAGACATCATACGATGCCACTATTTTCCTAATCATTTGTAGTTTTTTACTAAAAACATTATGAGCAAAACAAAAAGTTTCACGAGTATATTTAATATTATTTGCATGTTAATTAATTGTAGCCCTTTACAGGCCCTTCATGTTTCACTAGTATCTCACTTGATAGCAAAAAATACACAATATACATTCCCAGTTTACTCTCAAATGAGTTTGACTCTTTATATCTAGCCAGAGTATTTCCCATGGTTTGAAAAAGTATACACACCTCTGATATTTTAATTTTCTAAAACTTTATCTATAAAGGCTTTTTGCATACAGAACATTTTGAATGCCAACCAGATTATTAGTTTCGTATGTGTGTGAACTTATGTATAAAATGTATTGGATAACCATCCTTATTATGATTTTTAAGTACATAGTCTCTTTTACTATTTTGTTAATCAGTTGTAGAAATAACTCTTAAGAGAATTGGCCTGTAACAATGAGTAACTAGAGTATCAGCAAGTTAGCTACACTTCACAACCAGTTTTCTTTTGTTAAAACAATTACTTTTACATTTGAGATTCATCTGTTTATACTAGAAAATAAGAATAAAAAAACACGTGGCGGTGTTTACATACTACACAAATATCGAAATAATAAAAACAATTAGGGAAACGTAGTTAGTTATATGTTGTAAGTTAATTAATTAATAAATTTTATGTAACACTGGAGGAGATTTCAAATAAAATCACGGTATATAGAAGAATGAAACCATTGAGGAACAACTTTTCTTGCGCCTTTATTTATTTTATTCGTGTTGTATGTGTGTTTCATCAGTGTCAGTGCTTGTCATGAAAGTTATTACATTTTTCTCGTGTGTAAAATAGTACTTGTATATAAAATTTATATAATAAAAATCTTAGGTACATAATCCCAAAATTCATTTTATATTTATTATTCAAACACAACTTTAGTTTATATTTTACGTTTTAATCAAAGAAATGGCAAATAATTTAAAAACTCGTCTGAATCTGAACCGAAATATATCATTTACGAGTTTTGCTAAAGAGAGGAATGCTTAGCAATTTTTAAATCTCCAAGTAATAATAACTTGACCATAATACCTTATTCAATATCTGTTTGTATCTAAAAGTCGTACACAAAAAATTATCTCTAATCTCAGAGTTCTTTATTTTTATCTTTTATATCTTTAAACATGTATAATATTTGTGTGTTTCGTCCCTGAGTATTGTGCATTATGTTGTTCTGGTTGGCTTTTCAGTATCTTAACATCATCATAAGTGATAAATTATTTGTCTTGGTAAGTTTAGTAAGGTTCTTAATTGGTAGAGTTGTTCTGTCATATAGATTAACTGTGAACCATAAAACAATCAGGGAACTTTGTCTTGTGTTAGAAGAAAATGCATCTACTTTTTCTCAGTATGTGCTAGAGTTTTGCTTTCAAATCGTATTGGTAATTCCGTTTCAGAAATTAATTTATATATGTGTTAAAAGATTATTAAGAGTAAAAGGTATATGTGAAAAAGATTATTACTTCATTCATTTCTTTATGATCTTTTTCTAACTTTTTATACATATCATGCTACCTAGGCTAACGTAACCTAAAACCTTACAAATCGTGGAATCCGGTTTCAATGCTCCTTGGTGATTTTAATAATTATACAAGTTGTACTTTGACTTTAACAAGTATGTTTTGTTATATAAACATATTATTATGATAGTTTGTACAAATAAGTAAATCAATATGCTATAATAAGAACAATGCTATCCCTTTCAATCTGTGACATATTTTACAATGACACCATTTTAAAATATATTTAGTTGATAAACATTAGCTCTGTACTTAAACTGGCTTTCTATTTGTAGTATCGCTTTTCAGAATATATTGATATTACATATCTTTGATGTAGATTCATGGTTAAAGAAGTTTGTTTTTGTGGCTAACTTTCTCTAGGATCAAAACAACATGTCAATCTATGAAAGAGAGGGTAGGATCCTCGTAGTTCGATGTTCATGAGCCGGATAATATACCTTGAAAAACTCCAGACCAAAGACGTTACTCCTGTTTCTTCGTCATCTTCATCTGACTGGGCAGCAGTTACTCGCTTCCTAATCATCCCGAAACTAACATATTTTTCTTTATGTTTTATTAGTTTGTTTGTCTGAAGTTAAGCACAAAGCTACACAATGGACTATCTGTGCTCTGCCCATCACGGGTATCGAAACCCGGATTCTAGAGTTGTAAGTCCGCAGACATACCGCTGTGCCGCTGGGGGGGGGGGGGCTTTATGTAACAGGACTCACTTGTTTCCCTAGGTCTTGTAAAATTATGATCAAATTTGCCTTATAATTGAATATTTTTATTGTTGATCAGAAAGTTTCTTTTTATATATATCCAGTCAGTTTCAATTTGGTTGACATTTGTTAACGCATTTTTTTATCTGTACTTTAAAACTTGTTTTAGTCAGCAATTCCAGCTATGAATCATAAAAACACGGCAAAAAACTGACAAAATTTATTGTTGACCTTGGACCTAACTTTTCAAAATGGCAGCATCATTACATTGTTAGGGAACCGCTGAACACAGTGAGACAAATTGTAATTAATTTGCATCTTGAAACTGCAGTGACTATATAAGCTTTTGGAGAAACCACTAATGGTTGTCAGTACAAATGAATATGTCATCATTATCTTGGGATCCTAGCTTGCTGATGGTAAAAATAATTATCTGTACACTCTGATATGTCTTGAAAGAAATTTATTCTTTATTGTGTGAGGCTCCATGAGAGTGTAGAATTCTGAATATTGGCTTCAGAATTGAAAGGCATATTACACAAATAAGGAGGAAAAGCAGCATCCAACAGACGAAATAAACTATTCCATAATCAAGGTCAGGTTATTGAGTCTGTGACCATAGGATTGATACGTATTAGAATTTGAAATAGTCCCAAGCTGAGTGCTTTGGATCTAATATTTAAATAAATGCCGATATATAGTCAGTTTATGATATTTGCCAACATGGTTAATACACACCATTTTCCTTTTTAACACAAATACGTTTTAATATACACAGAACAGTACAATTTACAATAACAGTTATTACAAATAGTTACTACAAACAATGATTTATAAACAAAAGTTTCACAAACTTACAAACACTATAAAGTTTTCTTTCTGGTTTGGAACTTCCTTGATATCTTATCGAGTGTTTACGAGTTCATTAGGAGTTGATGTAGATATGATCCGCTGGGAAGCTAGCTGGCTTTGTCCTTGGCCACACACACTAAGTTTTTCACGATGCATTTATATGTCTTCGTAAAAATTACTAATGTCCGATGAGAATCCACTGAAGTTAAATG